TTACCAACAGCAAGAACAAGCACTCCAACTCACTAGTAACAAAATGCCAAGCAATGCAGCTTCTGAAGCTGTGTTTCTTTTCAGGACTAAGATACCCAACTGAAGGCCATAGGTAGGAATTCAAAGGACAGGGATTAATAGCGCTAAATCCCCCCCAAGACAGAGGCGTTCAACTTAATCACTTTTCTTAGGAAAACAGTGATGCCCACTGCTCATGTACTGGCCTAGAATTAAAAAAACCAAAACAACTAGATTATGTTTTTTCTGTTGTTTCTATCATCATCTCCGATGAATGAACGCTTCGTCTGTGGATTTTTAGAGTTCTCTGGGCTAACATACTGCCAAAGTGCTCACCCAGGAGAGCAGATATTGGCAGGTGCGACCACAAGAACTTCCAGCACCTACAATAATTTATGGGCAAAAAAATCCAAGTGTTCAGAAAATCAGTTATTTTAAACTGCAGCTTGAGTTTGGGTCTCAGCTGCCTAATTTCCACCAAAGTCCTGCTTCAGGCACTTCAGTATTTCTGAAGGTCTGTGCCAGAATCCCTAAAAAAAACAAATCCCACAAAAACCCCTCCAACAGTTCCAAGGATTAAATCTTACCTGCAAAGGCTCTAAGCGTTTGGGTTTGCAGACTGTGTTTTATTACAGAAGGGCAGAGCCCAGGATGTGCTACACACTCTGCCCTCTGCTCACAGTTTGAAAGATGCTTTGCCCCACCCAAAAAAGAAAGTGGCAACAGGCTACGTTGTCAAAGTCTGGTCTGTCACGTGTTGCTTCTGTTTCTTATATTATGTATTTTCTTTCCCTGACAATTATTGAAGATTAGTTAATCTAATCAATTAGACAGCATGGCAAAACTGACAGGGTGTATGTAACGTAGAGTGCTGAAAAGGAATTGAAAACAATGTATTTTGGTAAAAGAAAAAGTAATCTAAAAAATTCTATTCTATTGCACTAGGAATCAGTTTTCTACAGCATATTTTTCAGACAATAATAATTAAAAACCAAACAATCAATTAGCATTACCAAAATAAAATAATCTAAGACAAACCTGGTTCTGATAATGGGCTCTTTACCATCATATTTCCCAGATAGTATTCTTGGATGTTTATTTTCTACAATCAAAAGAAGTTAAAAGATATTTCAGTTACCTTTTTTCAGACTTTTTCAAGTGTACAGGAATTCAAGTCTCCTAGAGGAGTTAAGCATGAACATGCCAGTGGAAAAGGGGGTCAGGACCTACCTGTCCCGTTTCCTTCTCCTCATGATACTGACGGATGTGTTTTCCATGGCAGACCTCGTAAGTCCAGTAAGATTCAATCTTAAAATAAATAAATAAATGAATAAAAAGATATATGTTTGGATACATTACTCCCCCTGCCAGTCCCCCCAAATTTTGGCTTTGGCAGCAATGAAACGCCAGCCCAAGCAGGTGAGCTTGAGCACCCTCGAAAACAACAGCACAGTGAATGTCTCCGTGTTCCCCAAGCGTTTCGATGATGTTCCAAATAAACCCAACAGGCAAAGTTTCCTTAAATTTCACATAGATAAAACAAAGGAAAAAAATACAACTAAGACGTAAAGACTAAATTTGCCCCCAGATAGTGAGGGCTAAGCTGTAGTGACTCAGCACAGGCTGGTTTTGGCAACTGCTGTAGGTACCGGCTGACTACCAGTTGAGCTTGACCCACCCGTCCTTCCTCAAGGACTCGTGGGGGGCGTTGCACAGCTATAATATTTGGCCACTTCTGCGCTCTCTGGTTCTCAGTACCAGCTTGTTTGCTGTTAGGCTTGTTCTTATAAAGGAAGACACCCATCTCTGAACTGGGACAACAGCTGAGGGAAAGCTGGAAAACTTTGAGAATATCTAGAAATATGTTTGGTTTGGTCTTCTAACACTTTCTAAGAAATGCTTTTCATTAGACTGTCGCACATTATGGCTCAACTCCTGGAAGTAAATGTTTTAGATCCACATTTTTAAATTGCTACTATAGCAACCCAATTTACTTGCATCCTGACATCTTCAGTTATACAGAATTTTATCAGCAATATTAAGACTTAGTCATAAAGTCGTAGAGACCTTATTTTTGCATTAAATTAGTACCTGAAGTCCGAGACATAATTATCCAAACAGTTCACTACACTAAACCTTGACATGGACTAGACCGTGAACTTTTGATTAGCATTTAAGTTATCAACAGAGAAGTAACATACTCTATATGAACAGCTGCTTTGCTTAAAAAGAGGCTCCAGCAGTTCTCCTGGAGTAGGACCTTTATAGTCCTTTTCTTCTTCCTAGAATAGAAGGATATTTCATTACATTAAAATTAATAGTACTTTGGTGAGTTAATATTCGTCTGCAATAGTAAGAAAAAAAAAATCTATTGTAAACTAAAAGGTACAAAACCTCATTAATTCCTGCCCTGAAGGAGCTGTGTGGTGATTAGAAAAAAAAAGATAATTTAGTTTGGTGAGAAGGGGCAAATAAAAGTCACAAATAAAGTGGTCAAAACGGAAAAGTTTTGTGGTTTAAAAAATACACACGTGGCAAAAAGAGTAGGAGCGCTGAACTTGCTCATGGGCAGGGTGGCAGCCTGGGGCGTGAATAGGAAAACAGCGTCATTTATCTTTTCATTTGTTAGTCAGTGCTGACGCCGTGTTGACACAGTATAATTGGCCCATCACGCAGCTTTCAGGCAATTTTAAAAACATGGATCAAAAAAGCATAAGTAGTACCGTGGAAGTTTATTTCTGTGTAATTTTTGCTCTATAAATGTGCATGCTATTGAAGAGATTTCCACACAAAATTCTTCAGTACCAAAGACGTCTCGGCTACACCGAAGCACCCCGTACTGTCAGTTGCTTAAAGGATGAGAGCAGAGTGAAAATGGGGGTGTCTCGCACAGGAGCACAGCTTGCCTGTGCAAGCTCCCATGGCGTGAAAAAAAATGAACTGTTGGAGGAACGAATGATCGATGGCAAACCTCACCAAAGGCCTCCTCAATCTACTGCCTCTTGTACAAACAGATGTATTTATGGTTTTGGTTTTTTTTTATTTTAACCCCACACTGCACATTCAGATTTCCAATTAAAGAATAGAGGACAGACAATAAAGCTTTTATTACTGGTGGTAGAAGCACCACCGGGATAGTATTTTCAGGTACAGCAGTTATGACAGCAGCGTTAACAACCTTTATAGTTGTTTACTGGCCTAGAATTTGACAATATTACTTAAAACACAAGAATTTCCCCATCAGTGATAGACCTTGCAATAAACAGAACATCACAGCAATCATTTGTCGCCAAATAGGGACTTCAGGCTTGGGCAGGCTGGCCCCACTTTGTAGAGAGCTTAGTGTGTAATACAAAGTGAAGGCATCTGCTAAAAACTGTGACACTCTGCAGATGTTTTTCCTTTTACTGGGGAAAAAAAAAGTCTTTATTTTGAAAAAAAACTAACTGAAAAGATAAAGTAATGACTTGTCTACAGCTTGTAATTACAAAAAAAGACTTCACTGAACTTACCTCATTGCCACTTGCTATCAGCGGAAGTATACATTTGTATTTTTCTTTGTCCACAGTGGTCATTATAATGTAGTTATCCTCTTTGTACAGGACACCGGTTGTAGGCTAGGAAAACAACCAACCCATGGATTAGTCTGGTGGGTTTTTTTAACGCTACTTGTTAGAAATATTCCTGAATTCTCGAGCAGTACAGTTAATTCATAGGGCAGGTGGTCCAGAGGCTATCCCAGGTCTTAATTATATTACAAGACTGGGCTTTGGCACTTAAGCTCGACGTGGCTTGCTAGCATTTGCTCGCCTTCTCCTTTGCTGGGACCCTTCCACCTCCAGCCGCATTCCCGCTCTCCTCCACGCTCCTCTTCCTCCCGCTGACATACTCCCCACTCTTGTGAAAAACCTCGATTAAAGAAACACCCGCCCAACCATTACATTTTGCAACCGGCCGTTCCCACGCCCATTTTCAGGCCAGATTTCCCGGGGATCTTCCCCGCTGCCAGGCTCAGGCCCCGGCCTAAACACCCCCCCTCCGGCCCGGTGCGCCGGTACGCGCTCGCCGCTTGTCGCCGGCGGCCAAAACGCGGGGTGCCGCTTACGGCACGCACCGGCAAGGCTACGCTGACTGAAACACCCCCTTCTGGGGGGCGTGTGTGGCGCGGGGGCTTCGAAAAGGACGGCCAAGCCTGAGGGGGCTCCGGCCGCCGGGCCGCGCTCCTGCCGCCTGGGTTGCCCTGTGAGGGCTGCAACCGCCCGGCTCCGCCAGCGAGGGAGGCTCCGCTGAAGGAGCGGGTGGGGGGACCCCTCACAGCCCCTCAGGACCCCGGTACCAACCAGGCTGAACTCGGTGCCGGGCCA